ATTTATACGGATGAACAACTGAACATAATTGACGGCGTCAGATAAATACAGGGTAAATAAAAAGATCAAACATGTTTAAAGGAAAACTAAGAGGAAACTTAGATATCAAATTAAGGGGGTTGGGGGTAAATAGGAGGAAGTAGAATTTCAAAGGTGTAGATGTGCAGCTTTAGAGTTTAAGTAATCACAAGCCTAATTAAAAAGCAAAAGAAATAGTCCTTTCTAGGTCAACCTAACAGTTGGGTCGTTAAGATCGGGTCAATTCGGGTCTCGGGTATGTTTGGCTCAATTGATGATTGGGTAGGGTCAGATTTCGAGTCGGTACTTTGGGTCAAGTTCATATCGGGTCATTTCAGTAATTTCAGGTTAGGTCAAGTTTCGGGTCAAGACTCCGGATCTATTAGTTCAAAATGGGTCATTTAAGGTCAGATCGATTTGGTTTAGGTTGAGACTTCAGGTCAAGCTCAAATCGTGACATTTATCATTGTTATCTATTAACTATTACTAAAATAAATCGTTGCTGACATCATACATCCCCCTCCCTATCCTATGTGTCGCTTTCTCATTAAAAAAATTCCCGCCATTTTAATTTATGATGTCATCAATGATTTTTTATTTTTTATTTTTTATTTTTGAAAGAACTACACTAAATATGTATAATAACATGTATAAGATAATAATGCATACTCTACTACTGTTGTTGGCCTATAAATACGGAAACTATCAAAGTTCATAAGATAACCTATATCCATTTAAAAAATAAGTTATAACCTATGAATACAGAAACTATCAAAATGAAAAGTGACTGACTTTTGGACTCAATGCTAAAGTGAATACACATTATCCAAAATTCCCTCCTATTTAATTATCCAAAATTCCCTCCTATTTAATTGTGATGATAGGTGTAAATAAAAAAAGCAATAATTATTCAAAGTGATTGACGTTTTGTTTTAATATATGTATGTGCATTGCATTTTTTTTTTCAACATTACCTTTGTTCACTGTGTGTATTATGTATTTGAAGCTATGAAAATATTTGTCTTCCACACTTCAATTTGCAATTTGGTTTTACTCATATTGATGTCAATTATTATGATTATTCGGTAGTAGCTTTTCTCATCTTGCAGGATATATGAAAATTTCTGCACAACAATTTGAGTTCATTGAAGACATGACTCCAATGAAGGAAAATATGACAATTAAGATACGAATAATACGCTTATGGAAGCCACCAAGCTTTGATAATCCATGTGACTATAATATATAGCATTGAGATGGTATTTCTAGATAAAAAGGTATTGATAATATATTAAAAAAAAAAATTCTTAAGCCGCATACAAAATTATATTGATTCTTTGATTACATCAAAACACTCATTTGATTATCGAATAATTACATTAAGAGAAAGAAAAGAACAAGTAAACTTTTATAATCCCACTAAATGAAAAACATATGATAATGATTAATTTCATATAATATAAATTAGGTTAAATTATTTATCATCATCGTGCAACACACGGGTACTAATCTAATTGTTCAAATATTATTGTAAACAATCCCAATTTAATTTTCTCTTGTCTTCTCAAATAATTAGATTGAATGAAAATAACAAAGAATAATCCAAACTTTGTAGTGAAAAAGGTGAGGCTATTTTTTTTCCTGTAAATGAATCGCTAAACATCGCCCGCAAATCTCCACATAAAGCCCACAAATATGTATTGAAGTGACTTTATTGCCCTTTTCTTTTTTTTTTTTTAAAAAACACTCTCTACATCTTTCTAAAAAAAACCAGAAAATCTACCTCTCTAAAAAAAATTAATTACGACAATGTCGAGGCGGCAAGGGAAAGAAGTGGCGGCAGCGACAGCGGAGGAAAGGCGGCGACCTGGTGGCAAGGTAATTATTTAAATAATTTTTTTTTTTTTAAAAAAAAGGGCGAGGTGGCGCGCCAGCTTCGGCAGCCAACGCCGGTGGCGTGGCGTCTGGCTTGGAAGCCCAGCCACCGGAGAGGCGTCCAAACCAGACGCCAGGCCATAGGCTGTGGCGGCCAGAGCTGGCGCCTGTGCCTATGGGTGGGCGTCCAGTTCAGGCGCCTGCCCACTGGCTATGGCTGCCGGATTAGGCGCCACCGCCAGTGGGTGGGCGTCCTGGCCAGGCGCCCCACCTGCCTTTTTTTTTTTTTGGAAAATCAGAAATTTAGTTTTATTTAAAATAATTTAGTTTTATGTCTAATTTTTTTTTGTTAATGTGTTTTATTTTTTTTAAAATATTTATTAAATTTATGTGTTTTTTTTATAAATCTAGTATATATAGTTTTTATAAAATTAGATTTATTTTTTGTGTTAATGTTTAATTTTTGTATGTTTGATGTTTAAACATTTTTATGCCTTAATTGATGTAGTATGTGGAAATTGTTTGTGTTATTGTGTAATTGGTTTTTTTTTTTTAAATGTGTAATACATTAGGGTATTATGTATTACACAGAATTAACACAAAATTAAAAACATAATTATGTATAATATTATTCATACACATACACATACAAATTTTAAACACAATCATTTATAAAAGTCACATAAACAATAAAATATTTTGGTATACATTAACACAAAGCTACTCACAACATAAATAAAAACATTAAATTATTAAACTTAATTTAAAAAAAAACCGTTTTGAATTTTCAATTTGAAATAAATTAAAAAATAAATAAATAAAACCATTTCCAATTTTTTTTAATACAATTTCGAATTGTCAAACTTAATTTTTAAAAAAATACCATTCTCAATTTTCAAACTTAATTTTTAAAAAAACCCATTTCAAATTTTCAAACTTAATTTTAAAAAAAAACCATTTTGAATTTTCAAACTTAATTTTAAAAAAACCCATTTCGAATTTTCAAATATAAAACAATTTCGAATTTTTTTAAAAATTCATTTTCGATTTTTCAAATTTAAAAAAAAAAAATTAAAAAACAACAAATAAATTAAAAAAGAAAAAAAAAATAGGGGTTGGCGCCTGGCAGGGCCGCCACAACCACTGGACTGGCGCCTAGCCAGGACGCCTGTCTGGTGGTGTTGGCGTCTGGGCTGGACGCCGGTGCGATGGTTCTGGCGTCTGGCTTGGACGTCCATGCTTCGGTCCTGGCATCCAACCTAGGCGCCGGCGCCACTGCACGGCCACCTCTTTCAGACGCCGTTACGTAAATCGTGAATTTTAACGGTGATTTACCTCGTTTTCCGTCGACGACGACGTACCTCCGGCGTCCCCCGCATCTCCGGCCTGCCCTCCGGTCTCCCTCGGCGAGCCAGTACGGCTCCACATTTTTTAAATCGAGATTTGTTCTATTTTAGAAAATGGGCATAATTGTCATACCAAGTCATATTTGTGGGCTTTATATGGTAATTTGCGGGCGATGTTTAACAAATCCCTTCTTTAATTACTACCGTTACTAGATAGTAGAGGTAAAAGCTACAAATGCTAACACTAAAAATGGTCCGGTGCAATGTTGTTAAAATGTCCCTAAATTCATTAAGGTTATAAAAACTCCCTATGAATTTTACTAACAATTTTTTATTTTTTTATTTTTTTAACTAAATTATACACATTTTATGATAAAATTGAAGATTAGATTATTGATTAACAAATTTTCTCTTTATTTTGTTTAAGTAAATTTCAAAAATTGGGTCCTTTTATTTTAGGCAAAATTAGCCTCAATAGCATCAAGTATAGGTTGGTTGCATAGAATATAGCACAACCTTAATCGGGTGCGCTTAACATCACAAATTATTAAGATAGGTGCAAAAACTGTCATAAATGACATCGGAGGACGGAGAATCTACCGAAAAAGTGTATTTTTATTATTTTTAACCAATTTTCACCTTTATTTATTCATTTATTTTTTTTAATATTCTCTCACGTGTATAATTACTTTATCATACTAAGGACATGCCTCTATTATCATTATTCTCCCATTACCTCCAATTAGTAAAATTAAAATACTCCTTGAAGAATACAGAGGTATACGAGGAAAACGATGAAGACCAATCCTAAAATCAATCGGCACAAGACATTTTGGAAATTATACTTTGGTAAATTTTGAAATTCAATTTCTATCTTTGTGCTGAATACATGCATTCCCCCCCCCCCCATAATTTCATGAAAATAGGATATTACTTGGTGTTATGATTATTTGTCGAAATTGATGTTTTTGGATGAATTTAATTTGTATAATTTGTGTCGTTAGATTTCGATTTATTTTGCCAAACATAATCCATTCATTGCAATTTATCATGAAAGTCATTACAAAATAAGTTAGAGACAAATAATTAGGGAGCACGTGCTAGGTATAATAAAGTATCAAATAAGTTAGAGAAAATTAAAAAAGGGTGAAAAATTGGTTTAAAATAATAATAATAAAAATACAGTTTTTCGGCAGAATCTCCGTCATCCAATGTCATTTATAACATTTTCTACATCAAATTTAATAGTTTATGATGTTGAGTGCACCCGATCAAGGTTGTGGTATTTTCTGCACCCAATGTATAGTTGGTGCTACCAAGACCAATTTTGCCTTTATTTTATGATAGTTTCACTTAGGGGCCTTGAGTATTGACCATCCTACAAATGCTCAGAACCATCTCTGCTAGATAGAGTAGCACTAGGGGTCATGGATGCAAATTAAACTGCTCATGAACATTTTATAATCGGTTAAATCAAAGATTTGTTATAATTCAACACGTTTTGTGTACGATTGGCCACAACATATGTGGTCACGTTTTAAAGAACAAAGGAACCCCTTTTACAGTGATCGAGTTTTCTCTATAATACTAACCGAATAATCTTTAAAACACCGACTTGAGTAAACTTTGTAGCACTGACGAGATTTGTCAGGTATCCCTATAACACCAACGAAGTAATCTCAAGTTGGTTTGCCACGTATAAGAATAACTTTTCATATGGACGGGTTTTCATCTCTTTTAAAATGGGTAACTACCCCGTAATCCAAAAGGCGGGAAATTAGTGAGAATACCGTCCAACCAGCAACTTGTATTACCTCAGTACTAGTCTTATCCACAACAAATCCTTTTTCAATCTTCATCTTCTTCTACTCACTTCCCTCTTCCCACAACCATGAACACTCCCCTAATTCTCCCAAATTATCTCACTTTATCTTCCCCAATTTTAAATTTTCCAAACCCTAAACCTAATCTCTCTCCTAAACTCCCTTCACTTTCCTCCAATTTCCACCTCTTCCGCTCTCTTCTCCTCCATCAAAACCCCTTCCTCAAGGTATTCCTCTTTTTTCTCTCTCATTTTCCTCTTTTTTCTTTCTTAATTTTTTGTCTTCCTTTTGAGTTTTCAGATGAATCGGGCAATCAATTTGAATAACTCAGTTAATGCGTCGGAAGATGAATTTTGTGGTGATGATTTGGTAGTTGAAGCGTCTCTTACTAGAATTCTTCCACCTGCTTTGACATTGGAGCATGGTGTTGTTGCATTGAAGGATGCGCTTCAGGAATTTAAGCTTAATCCTCCGAGTTCTGCTAGTGGTTTAATTAGATTTCAGGTATTTTTAGTGTTTTGTACTATTCTTTTAATTTCATGGAATTTAGTCTGTTGATGACATTAGTAAAGTATTCTGTTGTACGTCCCAATTTGGTTGTCACATATGCTTTCACCACGGTTTATGATGGAACTAAAAAAATAAAATAAAAAAACAAGTAGAGAGAAACGAGCAAAATGTCCTTAAAAAAGAAAAGGTTTGCCGAATATGTAAATGTAAAATGTGGTGTATAGAGTTCATTTGGATAAAGATATACCACTTGGAAGAATTAATGTGTTTTATTTGGAAGCCTTTTGTTTGGGTGTGAAGAGATTATATAGTTTTGCAATGGAGTGCCTCGTTAAACTGCTGTTAAGCTGAAAATGATGCATTTGGGTTCTAGTTGGAAAATTTGAAAGCCAGATTGTTTTCTTGGTTTCTTTGATTAAGGGATATATAAACTGAGTTACAGGTAGCTGTGCCCCCAAGTGCGAATGCTTTGGACTGGTTCTGTTGTCAGCCTGAGGCATCGGGAGTGTTTCCTCAGTTTTACATGTCCAAGCAATCAAAGAATCCAACTCGCGAGTCAGCTTTCTTTAACAAGACTCGTGGGGTTTTTGGAATTGGAGCTGCGGTTTCTTTTAGACAGTCATCTTCTAGATCTGATGAGTGGAACTCATTTAGAAGGTAAAGTTCAAATATCTTTTTGATTTATGTTTCTTGAAATTTTTCAGTATTTAGTTAACAATTTATGTACAATTGGTTTAAGTTTATGCTATGTGCTGTTCTTCTGTCCTAGTTGATAGCATTGAGAAGTTTCAGCAAACAGCCCTAGTAAAATTGGCTCTGAGCACAATTTTTGAGGTGAATGATGGTTAAGGTTGGAGGTAGTTTTCAATACTTGAAGAGAACTGATTCCTTTGGTGTCTTGGAATATATGGGACAAAGGTATTGTTGATGAAATCATTGTTGAACTAAATGGCTGCCCAAAAAAGATAGTAATAGTAATAAGCTATTGGAGAAAAAAAATTAATTGCCAGTTAGTGTGGATAGTGCTGGGTATTACCTTATTAATGTGGTGATTTGTGTAAATTGAAGTACAAGATTAATGATGATCTCTTATAAGATTACCTTAATGCTACATGTCCATGATTGTGCCTAGTCTTTAATTTATACAGCTAAGTCCACTATTTTAAAATCCTCTCTGTTAGGAAACCATTTTCATGCGTCCCTTATACAGCCTTTGTACTACATAGTGACAACTGGTAGCCACTAACCTGTTGAATCTTTGAAGTTGATGAAGCTGTTTCTGTGATACTGTAATAATTTAGTGGCAGACAGTAGGAGTACATGTAACATTAGACATCATTTTTTTTTTTTTTTTTTTTTTTTTTTGGGGGGGGGGGGAGGGGGGATTTAATCTAGCGAGCCATTTCTTGTTCCTTTTTTTTTTTTGGAAGAGATTCCAAGGAGGAACATATTTGGCATATGAAGAGATTCATTAGTTTCATGTATGGAAAACAACTTTATGCATTCTGCAGTTTAATTTGTGGTTACCTACGTACTATGTGGTTTAGAGGATTTTACTGGCTTTTTTTAGTACTGCAAATTAGGTCCATGTATAGAATAGGTGAATATTAAAGAACACATTAGGATTTTGTATTGAGTATGCTTGGACTTTTTTATGATTTGAAGGAATAAGATATACATCATATTACACATCAAATACAGAAATTAATAACGTCTTTCATTACAACTGCCAGTTCACAATCCTGATAAGCAACTAGATTGTCTAGCATGTATTTTAGAGCTGATGCATCAGTTTCAAGCTCTAGATGCATAATTTTCCTTTTCCGAGCAATAAGTAGTCCTTCACGGATAGTTACCAACTTCGAAGAAGCAGGACCTTAAATGTTGGATCAATCAAAGCCTTAATCCCATAAGTGGGGTCGGCTACATGAACTAAAAGTGATTATTCCGTATAGTCATCTACAAAGATCTTCCTCTTCCATCCCTTACGATCAAATACTTCATTCTCATGCAAATCCATATGCTTCATATCCTTCTTAACTCCTTCCAACCAAAGTCATTTTCGGTCTCCCTCTACCTTGTTTAACCTTTCCATGATCCCACTCTTCGTACCGGTGCACCTCGGGATCTCCGTCTTACATGCCCGAACCATCGCAGACGATTTTCCCTTAGTTCTGCAATGCCCGCGATACCCACTTTCTTGCGAATAACTTCATTTCTAATTCTATCTCTTTGAGTGTTCCCGCACATCCATCTTAACATGTGTATTTCGGTAACTTCCATCTTTTTAATGTGCTCCTTCTTAGAAGCTCAATATTCTGTACCATAGTGTACCATAGAGCAACACTGGTCTTATGGCAATTGTATAGAAGTAGAAAAACCAATCTGCCATAGACCTGTTTTACACTTGATTATGCCTCCACCTCCATCATTGTTAACTATCAATTAAAAACCATCAGCTTTTAGCTTGAAAAATCCTTTTTTGTGAAGGAGCCCAAATCCTCAATGGTGGATTAAAGGAGATGAAGGAGTGTTCAAATCAACTTGCATGCTGTTGATAGTGCCAAATAATCGACTATAAATTTGTTACATGTTTTGGGACTTTTGAAGGAAAAAAAAATACTTTTTTTGGTATGACTAAAGATTTCTATTTTTTCCTTTCAAACTAATTGAATGAGTGACTTATTTTATTTTTATTTTTTTACAGCATTTTTTTTTCTATATTATAAGAAATTTACTCATTCCAATTAGTTTGTAGAATGAATGGTAATGGGAATTAACCATTTTTTTTTAACAATGGGGACGTAAAAATAGCTAAAAAATGAAGAGCATTTTCTTCAGAAAGATTACGTGTGCCGCATATGGGGTTGAAGTTTGGGACTTTTGCTTCCAAAATAGCTCATACATGAAGGATAGTAGGATTAAGTTGCACAGGAGCATTTTGTATTCAAAAGGGACATGTTCTTCCATAATCTTTTCCAAGTAGATTCTGGAGAGGAGTTATTGATGGATCGGTGAATTATAAAGTACGAAGTATAAATATTGAGATATTAATAGTTAACTTGTATTTATTTTATTAATTAATAATCATTGATTATTAGTTCTTAATTACTCCATGCATCTTAGAATTGTTCGATCACTTGCCCGATACAGCGTTAAGTTGTTGAGATGTTATTAATTTTAAATTTTAATCTAATACTTTATCCATTTTTTTAGTACCTGTAAAACTTCCCAAAAATGGAAATTTTATAATACTTGCAACTCACTATAAACGGATTTTTTCTTCTAGTAAAGGTTGTACTATTACCCTTATTTAAAGCTCGTGGCCCACTAAATTATATTCCTAACCATCTGTCAACCTTATTTTAAGTGTGTTAAATCATGTTAGACCCACATTTTGTATTTACCGTGAAAAAGTGTGTTGCAAGTATTAAAAACGAAGGAAATAGTAAAGTGAGCGTGCTATGAGATAGTAGGGTACTAGGGTATAATTTTTTTTGAACAAGTAGATACGATAGGATATAGGTATTTTTTTTTTATTGAATGTGAGATACAATGAGGCCTTAACATTTGGGTAGTGTTAAGAGATGAGTCTCAAAATAATAGTGGGGTCTTTCCCAAGGAAGTGTTTGAATTAATGTGGGGCACTGGGATAGGTAAAATGTTCAAACTATATTGAGGTGGAGGGAGTATTAATTATTTAAAAGAAGTAAAAAGTCGTTTATCACGATAAAAGGCAAAAGCTAGAGGGAAAAGTCTTTTCATTTTGGCTTAAAAGCTATGTTTTTATCCAATCAATAAGCCTTTAACCAAACTTTTATTTTTTTAATAATAATTATTATATACGAAGTTAATGTTTTTTTTTTTTTTTTTTTTTTTTTTTTTTTTTTTTTTTTTTTTTTGGTGTTTAACTGCATGAAAAAAGCATAAGTCAACCAAAAAGCCCTTGAAAGCCATTTACCAAACGTGACTAATATATTCTAGAATCTAGATATATATCTTACAATGAAAGAGTCCAAGTCTTAAAAATTCTAGGAGAACTTATTTAAGAGTCCATTTCTTAGTACTAGGAAAGGGTTTTACCCTTTTTAAATAGCTTAGAGTTCACTGAAGAAAACTACTTTATATCTTTTGCAGATATTTGTTGGTTGATTCACTCAATATCACAGTGTATGGCTTCATTGATAGCAATAACGACATCAAATCTTCTTTTATGAAGCATGAGACTGGTTCATTGTACTTTATAATTCCTCAGGTGATGCTGCATTCTTTCTGCATCATATATCATTAATGATTCTCATATAATGCCCAATGTAATCAATTAGAAATGATAAGTATGATGTTGTCTATTGATAGCCTGGTTTACATGTTGTGGCATTCAAGGATAGCTATTAATTTGGAAATGTTTTATTTGCTAGATAGAACTAAATGAATGTGAAGGGTTCTGCATATTAGCTGGGACACTTGTATGGAGTGACTCGTTCTGGTGTAATTTCAAGCAAGCTCTTTATTCTTATGAGAATTCTCTCTTACAGGTACCTCCTTTTTTTATTTTCCCCCTAGTTACACAGATTTTGCGTTTTCCTTTTCTTTATTATTATCCAGGTATTTCTAATAATCCAAGGTGTTTTGGAGTAAATTACTGTCAGTGTAAATAAATATTTTTTCATCTGCTTCAACATTAAATAGCTATGTTATACTTATTTGGAGTTCCTTCTTCAAGCATTGGCGATTTTTCTTATGAACAGTATTCTGCTGAATTTTTTTGACTCTTATTGATGATTTTCACACTGCATGTCATGTGTGTGAATGTATTGCTTGGGTATTGTTGTCAAATCATAATCCTTATAGTTTATCCATCATTTAATATTTGTGTAAATGCTCATGGTCTTGAATTTTCCATGATTGTTTAATTATTAGGTATTTTGAGGCCATAAACTATTTATCCATTTGTGTAGTCTATGCTTACCAAAGGCTGCAGTAAAAACTCTCTTTGGGGTACAAAACTGCTATAAATAGGTAAGCCTATAGCAATGTGTCGTCAGTAGAATTAGTAAATGTTTGCATTGGTGGTGTGCTGTGTTCCTTGGCTGAATGTCATAGTCATAGGATCACAATGTCAATTTTCAAGTTTTACATGTTCGAAAGCAACCTGTCATGGACTCATGGTATTAGTTATAACTAATTAAAATAGGATGAGTACAGTTGATGGGTTCTTGTGTTCCATGTGTGAATTTGAGACTAAGTGTTCTTTGCGTGAAATATTGAGACTAAGTGGTTAAATTCAACCTTGATGATGATAATTATTAGTAAGAAGTTTGAGAAATATTGGGGCTTGTCATGCATATTTTTTTTCACACTAAAGTCTTCAGTGCTCAAGGTCAAGGCTCAATTTCTTGTGGCCTGTTATTGAACTGGTTTGTAATACTCATGGAATGTCCCTTGTGGATATTCATGGTAGTGGATCTTTACCCTGATCTTATCATCATCTCAATAATAATCTTGTGCCAAAAAGGGTTGTAGTATTTTGCCTTTTACTTGAATGTCGAAGTATTCTTATTTTGTTAATACATATTCATGTTTTATAGTTCACCATATCCACTGTTGTCACTATTATTTAATACATTTTTTTTCTTCTCTTGCCAATTTTAGGCAATCAATCATTTTCCTGCTATGCTGGAGAATTGCTGTGCAAATATGATGAAGTCGACTGTCAACATCTTCAATATGGTAGAGGATAGAAAGATGGAAATGGTATGATATCAGCACAAGTGCACAACTGGAGTAAGTTGAAATGCTAGACAGGTTTAGTATTCTGACTTTTTTTCCCCTATTTTTTACAAGGTTTACATGGAAGCCCCGTTGTTGGGTAGTTACAGTAATGCTGCTAGTATTGTGGAAATGGTATCCCCTTCTTCTTGGTAATGTTATCATGACACTGCATGTTTTAGTCTAAGCAAGGTTTTGTTGTTCTATTGATTTAAATTTAAAATCTGATTAATATGATTCAAATTTAATGCAGAAAAATATTGCATCTTCATGTCAGTTCTGCATCAGGCTTTCCCAGAAGACAGCAGTTTCAAACAATATGGTATATTACCCTTATTTTAGCTACTGATGCAATGTGTCTTGGTAAAGTTTTCATTCAATGTGTTATGAAGTGAATCTATACTGCTGAAACAGTTACGTAGCAAGAAAACTTGATATGGTTAACATTATTTCCCATGAATTCTGTGAAGGCCATATAATACTAAATAGATATGGTCAACACTTTTTTCTGTAACAAACTACTAATGCTACAGCAGAATATTAAGCAAACAATTGAAAAACATGGAATCATTGAGGAAAGTGAGGTGACCGTTTCATTTAAATGCAAGAACTCTGTTTACAGGGGGGTGGCTTGAGGCCACTACTCTCCAGATGGTGACTTTAGGTCATGAATCTCAACAATACTATCACAATCCACAAACTACTCAACCCATCCCTCACTACCCCTTTTTAAATTTACATAAACAGCCAGAACAAGCTAACAGACAAAAGTTGGTAAAAGATTTGCTGCTCTTTCACCACAGCAGAGCACAGCAGAGGTGCCATTGGGCTGCTCACTGTAATTGATGCTGCTCTAGCCCATCAAGTCTCTTTCTTCCCCTTCTCTTGTATGTGATGATGCCTTGTTGTTGCCTGACCCCAGTGTGCGTTGCATTTTCCTGGAATCTTGTGAAGGCCATATAGTACTAATGATCGCAATAGTTTCTTTCATCATGCCTTTGTATAGAGCAGTGTAAGGAGTTTGAGATGCAAGTACTATGTAGGTTCTTCCCTGCGATCATGGTGAGTCTGCTTCGGTAAGTTTCAAAACCAGGACGAAATATTCTTCTGGCTTTTGGGTATCACAAGATAGTTTAATGACATGTTGGCATTATCCAATGACCTCTGAAACAGCTCTTGGATAAGTATGATAAAAGGGGATGGAGTTCCTATCAGACCTTGCAATAACTGAGAAACAATATGCTCTACTTCAAAAATAAGAGTCATGCCTACAGTAAATGAGATTTTGAGATAGTCTATTCAATTTTCACAGCTCCACTTGAGAAGACATTTTCATGAGAGTTTTCTTTTAATCAATTACTTCGTATGTTTTTGTTGCACCATTTTCCAATTTGGGAAGTTGCATATTAATTGCACCATTTCCTTATTTGGTATGTTTATTTCACTTTTTGATTGTGTTCACACACAAAATTCCCTACTTACCCTTGTTCACATGCGATAGCAACCATTATTACCCCACCTTTTCTATCTCTCATTTGTTTTTTTTTCACATGGGCACTTTTGACATACTCCATCTTTTACACTTTCTTAAATCTTGTGTCTATACCAAATGTTGCAATTAAATAAAACGGAGGAAGTATAATCTAAAGCCGATAGTATTTACATTTGTGTAGATCATTTATTTTTTATTATAGGAAATGACATATGTTTAGATTGGTGTGGAGATTGATCAATTCAAAGGAGGCATAATGATGCGGATCAAGCATCAAGAATTTAGTAGATTTATTTTTATTTATTTTATGGTAGTCATATGATTTATTTAGAATAAAGATTAGGAAAAATTATCTTTTTGTAAGATATCATTAGAGTTTATAGGATTTAATTTTATCTTTTAGGGGGTGTTTGGTATTTGGGAATTGAGGGTGGGATTGGGAGATTTAATCCCAATTCAAGAAAAAAGTTTTGTTTGTTTGATGGGAATGGGAATAAAAATAGGTTTGGGAATGGGAATATTTAGGGGAGAATTCCCACCATTTTATTACCTAAGGAGGGTAGGTAATAAATGGATGGGAATAGGAATAAGTTTAAAATGACATTTTTGCCATTAATGAAAACAATGAAAGGAAATATTAGTAAGGGTAAATTTGTAAAATTGTTATTTATTCTCTATATATTCCAACTCACTATCCAAACAAGATATTGGTATATTTTCATGAATTCCCAATCCCATTCCCACCTTTTAATCCCCAAACTCCTATTCCCACATTCCAAACGCCCTGTTAGGTTTGTTTATCCTATCGGGCATGGGATTGTATGCTTATAAATAATTGTTTTTATTAATGAGAATTTAGAGGGATTGAGTTTTTGAAAACATGAAAATTGTGAGTTAGTTTGAGTGAGTCAAATTGATTTCAAAATGTTGCTTTTCTTTCGAAAAGATCAAAATTTACGTTGCTTTTCTTCTTGATTTAGTCGAAAAGATCAAAACTTATTGAATTAGGTTTAACCCTAATTGCTAGTATCCCTTATTGTGGTTTAATCCACATCAAATAGTTCGCCTGTGCTAAGTAAACGTTCGACCGAACCGAGTGAAGCAAAATCAGCTCAAGCCTCTGCCTAAAAGTTCAGCCAAACCAAGTGAATGGTTTTCCTGAACCATGGGGTGTTACGCCAAACCCCTATGTCTCTGTTTTGTGTCCCTGTTTTGCCTCCTGTTTCCCTTGTTTGCGATGTGTTATATTCTTGGCTGTTAAATTGTTTCTTAATCTCTAGAATATATATATTGCCTCCCCTCACATGTATTAGTATTATGCATTCACAAAATATTAAACACTATTTGGGGTTTATGAGAGGTTTTGTGAGAAGCATTTGAATTTTATACAATTCATGCTTGTATTCTTAAGTTCATCCATCATCAATACTACTCTATAGTGCAAGTTGGGTTTTTTCTTATGGTTCTCGAGTTTTCCCATGGTAAAATCGTCTCCTTTACTTTGCATATTTCTTCATTAGTTGTTCTTGATTGATTGCTTGCTTGTTCATTGTTTTTGTGGGTGTCAACTGCAGCATAGTTTCCACTCTAAATCATAACATTATACCTATCAAGTCTTAATTAACTGGAATGAGTCTAGGCAAGTCACTTTGGATTTGGTCTTTCGTCCATAATAATGTTATAACAATTAACAAAGAAATATCTTAAAAACAAGCACCAAAAGGTGAGCTTCTATTTTGTTGGGATAATGGTGCATAAAATGATAATACTATTATGTGATTTCAATCCATTTCAAAATGATTGTCTTCTTTTCCATTTTGGAATGTTTAAATTTGGTTGTCCAAATTATTCATTTTTCTTTGCATGGAATCATCTTGGTCCATAATTTTGGGGCATGACAACGGTTTATGTTGGTTGTCATAAACCTACCGCAATCCTCTCAATGGTGTCTAAGTGGCTTGAATGGAGAGCAACTGGGATCTTGTGTGCCTGTAGTACATCTTTAAGGATAATGGGAAAAGGCTATAAGATGAATATTGGACCAGAGATGCCCAAAGGATCATATTAGGAAGATGAGAATAACAAAGATGTGTATGTTTGTGGGAACATTTTAAGGGATATAATTAGGAGTGAAGACATTTAGAGAAAAGTTGAACTTGCGGACATTAAGGATAAAACGAGAGAGAAACAGTTATGTTGGTTTGGGCACGTAAGGCAGAGACCATAAAATGCACTAATAAAGAAAGCAGAGAGCATGAGGATCTTAGAAGAAACCGAAGGAGACTAAAGATGACTTGGATGGAGGGAGTTAGGATGATATGAAAAAATTGGGCTTACAGGAGCATATAATAGCGCACTTGGTAGAAGGGCATGGAGAAAGAGCATCTTTGTTGACGACTACAGGAAATAAATTCTTGGTTCATGTAGCCAAGCCCATAATTGGGATTAAGATTCTAATATTGTTGTTTGCAAGGATTTGATGCGTAATGAACTGATTGATTTTGTTGGAACTAAATATAAATAAAAAGACCTTTGTAGAAGAAAGAAAAATCCAATGAAAAGGAAAGATCCCATGCTTTAAAGTCTCCTTATCCTTGTTTGAATTTTTAAGAATCTTTTTCTTTGTTTGAGTTATAGATTGTGCAAATTCTACCATATGTCATAACGAATTGAATTTCTAAGATTAGTAAGTGATTGTTTCATCATGCAAACATCATCTAGTTTGAAGTCGTGTATCTTGACAACAGTTCATTTTTGAAGTAAATCAGTTCAAACTTCATTGCATTAACATTTTAGATGACCTAACAGTAAGCTGCAAGTGTTAATTGTTCTCACTTCATAACATTTCTCCTAGCTATTATCAATGTGGTTGCATTCATGTTTTAGATGACCTGACAGGAAGCTGCATGTGTTAAATTGTTCTGACATCAGAACATATTATCCTACCTATTATCAATGTCATCCTTTGGTTTCCTCTGGTTAACATACCCTGTATATCATCAATCCAGTTGTTTTCAATTTTCGTGAAGCTCCCCTGTAGAGGGTTACTGTTATTGCAGGATAGACTATATCTCTGCCAGGCCCTTAATTTGAAAAGCATCTATTTGTCAGCTACTTAGATGAACTATTCCCAACATTGCTGTCTAATATTTCTTATGTTTTTGTCTTGTGGACCCTTGGGTTCCTTTGTGAGATAGTCTTTTTTGCCTGTTTGTCTGTTAACCTGATAGGTCATTACCTTTTCATAGACTCATGATCCTAATCAAGCATTTTAGCCTTTTGCACACAATATGAAAGTGAGCACAGTGAACCAACTACCCTAGTACCCTCATTAAATCCATTATTTGATTCTAGTAATATGGCGTTTAAAGGTTACATGAGAATATGATTAGGAAAGTAGTCACATCTTTGGGTTACAAATGTTCCACTCTTATTATAAATCAAAATTATAACTCTAAATTGATGCTTATTTTGGACTACAGAGTAGTTATTTCAGTTGCAGATTTTTCTTTGTTAGCTGAAGCAATAATTTACGCTAAGTTTTCCGCATATTAAGTCTTTTATGCCTTTTTAATAATCAGTTGGATGATACCAGTGTAACAAGTTCTATCCTGCAAGAGTGTGCCAACATCAATTCTGTCTGGGCATCGCTTATTGTTGAGGAATGTTCTCGACTTGGCTTAACGGTGCGTGGTATCCATCTAAAAGTTTCTTCATGCGTGTGCACTTGCCTGATTTAGTATTATTTTAGTATTTTTGTATAGCCCCAGGATCAAGGTCATCTCCTCTTGCAGTTGCAGCATCAACTCATCCACGTATAACTTGTATTGCATGCTATGATGAGCGATCACTTGCATTCCATGCCGTCGGGTATGCCAGAGGATCTCAGATACCTGCTGTTGTTATTACAACGTCTGGGACTGCAGTTTCAAATCTGTACCCCGCTGTAAGTAATTCAGAATCATGTCTCTTGTTTTGAGAATCTTTGTATGCACAGTAAGTCACTGTATTGCTACATTGTATTATCACAACTTTTACACTTACAACTTTGTTGATAACTTAAATTATGAAGCATGTACTGAACATTGTTCCTATAGTATGTTTGACAATTAGTCTTATGCGTATTGGAAATTAAGCTGGGCTTGAACCTTTCCTAAGCTCTAATTGGCAAATGGTGTTGTCTTTTTAGGTTGTGGAGGCTAGTCAAGATTTTGTACCTCTAGTATTGCTCACAGCTGATCGCCCTACAGAATTGCATGCTGCTGGAGCAAATCAAGCAATCGATCAGGTCTGCAACTAGTAATATGAGGCAAAATGACATGAAAATGGCATTAGCTGTTTTATATCGTTGATATAAGTTTTCATATGCTGTGGTAGCTCAAAGATGTCTAATACTCTTGTGTGTCCTTTGATTTAGTCTTATATGAATTAACATTGTCAATTTTGAGATGCGTCGGCCTGTGGAATATGATTATTTGTTCAAAATTCACCAGTGTTATATTTTTATAGATTATTAAGCTCAAAGACATTATTTGTTTTGGTTTCTGATACTTTTAACAGCATCAAAATTTTGGTACCCTACTAAAGATTCATGTGACTTATGCTTGGTAGCATTTGATTTTAGTCAGAATTGTTGTTGATTTTTTCATCTTATAATGATAAAGAAGATGATGTGATTTATGATAGAGGGTCCAATTAGCTCTTTTGAGTTATTGGTTTCTTTCTTTGTGATGTTCAAACTTGCCTTATGGTTGAGTGGTTTGTCTGAAGCTGATGTTCCTCATCTTTTCTTTTTCCTCCATGATGGTAAGGTCAATCCCCTAGGTAGCCCAATAGTCTGATAGATGTTAAAGCAAGGTGACAGAAGACACAAGTTGTTTCTTTTACTTCCCTTTGGTGGAAATCTCACCTCATAATGACTGCTTTCCTTTTTGTAGAGGGTATATTGATTTTTAGACCTCATTATTCCCGTTAAACCACCACAAATGTGCATAAAGGGCATAAATCTTGACATATATAAACATTATTTACAAATGCACAACTGTTGCAATGCAAAGCTGCGTATGCTGTGGATCATGTCAATGACTAGTCCTTTGGGTTCATTATCCTTTCAAGTCTTTTCGGTGCTTACTTCAGTATGTAACAGATATGGGGAAATATAGAACATGAAAGACAATGGGTGGGTAATTAACTATTTTTTTGTATGTCTGGTTCAGGGTAGGTAAGATATTTTTTTCGTGAGTGAGTTGAAAATGATGTGTTGGTGTGTAATTACAAGAGTAAGGAGTAAGGACGGAAAGTTGACACGTGAACTTGACATTTGTGCTGCATTTCATACCACACATTAGCACACTTGTCAACCATTTACATTATATCAAGTTCATTGTTGAGGTATACTATGTCTACATACCCCCTGTCACTGAGTCACGTACATGATTACTTTCAAATTCTTTTTCGATGTATGTTATGCTATGTGCCTTTATTTTATATGAACCAAGTCAGACGCAATTTGGCTTATGTATTTCAGGTGAGTTGTTCTCTGTCATTACACCACGTCCAATGACATGATTGGCTGCTCCCAGCTTCTAGTTCTTTAACATTCAAGAATTATCTAACACATCTTTGCGTATGTTATAGGTGAACCATTTTGGCTCTTATGTGAGGTTCTTCTTCAATCTTCCAGCACCAACTGATCATATCAAAGCAAGAATGGTTCTCACAACTGTTGATTCTGCTGTCAATTGGGCTACTTGTTCACCATGTGGTCCTGTTCATATCAACTGTTCTTTTAGGGAACCATTGGAAAACAGTCCCCAAATTTGGATTAGAAGCTGTTTAGACAAGCTGGATTTTTGGATCTCAAGCACTCAACCTTTTACTAAATATATCAAAGTGCAATCGTCTTATGCGCATGCTGCCTCTTATGGCCTAACATCTGAGGTTGAAAGGACGATTAAGAATAGTAAGCATGGGCTATTAGTCGTTGGTGCTATACACCAAGAAGATGAAATTTGGGCAGCTCTTGTATTAGCTCAACATCTTTCATGGCCTGTTGTTGTGGACATCTTGTCAGGCTTACGATTACGAAAGCTATTGACTTCTTACCGTGAATATGAGAAGAACTTTGTTTTCATTGACCACTTTGATCACGTGCTGCTCTGTGATGCAGTCAGGCAATGGGCAGAATTAGATGTAATTATTCAGGTAATGCTTCTGTTTGCTTATATGATGTCCTCTGTCTTTGAGAGTTGTTTTATATAGTGGAGAGCTGCACCTATCTGTGCCTCTTATATAATTGCCTCTTTTCTCTCTTTCCTTTCTCCCCAGCAGCAATTCTGTAGACCCTCTCCAGCATTTAAACTCCCACTAAATTGCGTGTTGGAGAATCCCCCCCCCCCTCCCCCCCAACCTCCAAAAAAAAAAATGAAGGGTGAGACATTAGGTAATCTATGGAGTAAACTGTGTAGAATAGAGGTAGAAACTTTTTATTGCTGATATTCAGTCATCATTAGAAATAATGGGACGCTGGAGCTGAACTGTTATTTCTTATGATTAATACAATCATTATGAAGTAATATAATTTGGAGTGCCATTGTAGACTGCATTTGTATTTAGCTTTCAGAGTATTGCAACAGACCTTTCACTTTAAATAACTAAAGCTGGTTGCAGCCTGCCATTATTTCCCAAAATTAATTCTTTTACGGAGAACACCGATCAATGTGTTATGACATACGGGTCTTTTCTAGCATGACTAGTGACCTCCTATATGCTATGTAACTCGTCTTTTTCATCTGATCTCCAAGAACCTCTTTTTTTTTTTCTTTTTTTTTTTGGCTTAGAAAATAACAAAGTTAGGCTTATGATGTCAGATTTAATTAGTATTGGGTAACATTACTACACTATTCATATGGCTCATGCAGTCATGATTCTTGCTGTCCATTACATTTTAATTACGTTAAATCCCTTTGTTTGCAGGTTGGGAGCAAGATAACAAGTAAAAGGATTTCTCAATTTCTGGAACATTGCTTTCCGTGTTCATATATAATGGTTGACAAGCACCCTTGTCGACATGATCCTTCACACATAGTGACACATCGGATTCAGAGCACAATCTCACAATTCACTGGGGGTCTTCTGAAAGACACTTTTCCATATACTACAAGCAGCAAATGGAGTAGTTTTCTGCAAGTTGCAAATTCGGTGGTAATTTAATGTCTCTAAAATTTGCATTCACAAAATTGCTTTTCTGTTCTTTACTTGAAATTGAGTTTGGCATTTAGCAAGGCAAAGAGTGCTACTTTTAGGAGTATACTAGGATGACTATTTGACAATATGCAATATCTTGTTGGAAGACAATGAATGTGTTATACAAAAGATATGGTTGTTTGACTGGTTAGGCATGTTGATGTATTGATCTGTGAACTCTCAAAGGGCTTATTTCTGCTATGGATGCTAGCAGACAAAGATGGAGGAATGGATGTCTCTTATTACACGAGAATTAGCAGAAGTAAAGACAAACAAATAATTTTGTACTACTGATAACATTTACAAAGGCATTAACAACCAGCCTAAAGACATGTAAATGGTGATATAACCCCTTTCCTCCTAACATCTTTTAAATGGACTCTTACTTTAACAGTCCTTTGAATAGTGTTGTATTGTCATTGGGGTACAAGTTAACACTCAGAGCTGGCAAGATTATCTTCATTTCTACCAAACTAATTGTGATGTGCTTTTTTATAGAAATGAAACACTTATTGTGATATACGAAGTATTTTTCTTCACAAGAATGTACACTGGTGTCTTTCTTATATTCTGTGCTGACTAGGATAGACATTTTCTTAAATTTCTTATCCTTGGCCTTGTATTTTCTTATGCTCTGGTTGGATGCTCTCTTTCAGGTGGTTTGGGAGTTAACGTTTCTAATCTGCTCTGAGTACTCACTGACTGAACCTCATGTTGCACATATAATTTCAGAAGTAGTTGGCTCTGATACTGTTTTATTCATTGGAAATAGTATGGCTATACGTGATGCAGACATGTATTCTCAAGGAGTTGTAAGTTGCACTAATCAAACATCTCAGTCAGCATTACTATGCCAAGGGATACACATAGCGGGCAATAGAGGAGCTAGTGGTATTGACGGTTTGCTAAGTTCAGCTGCTGGTTTTGCTGTGGGATGCAAGAAAAGGGTAATACATCTTTGTTATACCTAGTTTCTATGTATTAGTGTTAATTTTGGTTACTATATGAGAGTCGTGTATGATTAGCTTTTTTGAAGTATGTACTCCTTCAATTCTTTTTTTTATCTTCCTAATTTTTATTTTGATAAGTTCTTTTATCTTCCTACTTTTTCTTTATTCCTTTTATGGTAAAGAAAATTTCCATTTTTATCACTCCTTACCCTATCAAATTGTCCACATAAAACTATATAATAATACCAATGTTTCGAAACAACTTTCTCTTTCCTGCCTAAAAATTTAATATAGGAACCTAATTTCCACTCACTACGTTTTATATGAATAATAAATGGAAAGATAAAAAAGAACGGAGGGAGTAGGACTTTGGAAAAACTTATTGACAAGTACACATAACATTTCATGATCAGGTTGAAAACGCCCACCCATTATATTTTGACAGATTTTTGTAGCTAGGTGCATTTTTCTCTACTTTTGATCACTTTTTCTTTTGAACCAGAAGTGTACTTGTGAATTCATATTGTTTTACGACTTTATTCTGCTGACATTGCACTACTTGTAATGAACTTATTCTAAAGAGATGAAAATGGTGATTTTGTTTTAAAGCTGAAATTTCAGAAAAATAAAGATTAATGTCAAGTATTCGAGAGACTTTCACTTGACCCTCTTCTAAAACTAACAAAATAAAAACTCAAACATTCTGGATGGCTTTCCTCTATGCCTACTCTCCCTTATTCATACTAAATTGATGACTACTGAGTACTGACTGAATAATATTAGACTACCCATAATAGGCCGGTTTATTATATAGCTAAGCTAATAGAGAACCAGCAAATTTAATCCTGTGGTTGTTCATGAAAGCATTGCATTGTATCCAATTAATTGATTTGCATGCACAAAATCTGTTTTTTTTTAGCCACTAAATTTCTTCTTTAAGATAATTCAAGGTGCAAAATCTTCTTTATGTTATTACTTTTTTGGTATTATATAGTATGTTATTGACAATCAATTTCTTGTCAGGCATTGTGTATAATTGGAGATGTTTCTTTTCTTCATGATACAAATGGTTTGGCAATATTGAGTTCAAGGTATTAGTTTTCAAACACTAAAATTTCTTCTCTATGGTACCATACTGCCATTAGCATGGACAATGCAGTCAATTTTATTCTTAGAATTGCTAGAATGCCTGGTAGGCGATACAATATATCAGGAAAAAAGTTGGGAAAACATATTCTTTGTGCTAGCTAGCTGTCTGTCAATCAGGAAGTAGGTATAGGTGGTAGCCAGAATGGGCATCTCACTTATTATAGTTTACGAATGCGTTCTCAAAACGCACGGCATAAATCTTACATCTTGCCTGTTATAGATGCTGGAGATTATGTATTAAGCATTCAATTTTCTAGCTTGTGAACAATATTGATAATGAGACACTCATGCTCGTTCCTCAAATAAAATGTATTGTTGGGCTCTGCATAATAGATTGCCCATGAGCCATGACCCGCTCACTATTCGTAGTTCTTAAGACTGCATGAATATGGAGGTCTGAAGGATGCAAAAACTTACGTTTGTTGAAGTGCCTGTACTTACTGTACGGGAACTGCACATGAAAACTATGATTCTAAATTGCTGATTAGCAAGATTATACTCCTCATCTCAGTCAGCCTCCTGTTAAATGAACCCACTGTATGCCAAGTTAGAAAAGGTATCATTTTTCACCTCTTTCAATGCCCACTGTCTCTAAAAAATAATGATTTATCTGACTGAACCGACAGAGAACTAGCATAGCCTGTTCTGCCAAAAAGGGGAAATGTAAGCTACCCCAAAGTCCAAACAATATGGAAGATATTTCCACAAAACTAGTCTGTTAAAGGCCTAATAAACTTTGGTATAGCCTTAGCTATTAATAGGGCGTGGTTGAGACCAGAAAGGTGATGCAGGGCATGATTTTATTTTTCCTTTTTTGTTTTGGTTGTATTTTTACTCCAGTCTGCTAATGTATGTCCTGAAAGCTGAGGTCCTATACCAGCACCACTAAAAAGTCGTGATATTATACTACAGTAACCTATCTTCTTCCGCATTTTTTAGTATTCTCTTCATCTTGGTTTATATCTTGCCGGTGACAGGATTTAAGTTGTAGAATTTTGGAGTATTGTTATTGGTGCTAATATTGTAATTTATGTCTGGCATATATGCTGACAACTTGCTGACAATGTTGTCATGCTTAAGGATTCCAAAATTTAACAATTTGTTTGCAAAATTGTGCTTGTAGGATGGGGCGGAAGCCTATGACATTACTTGTTATCAACAATCGTGGTGGTGGGATCTTCAGTTTCCTTCCAATCGCAGAAAAAATTGACTCTGAAATTTTGGGAAAGTATTTCTATTATAATCATCGCATTTCAGTCAACGAGCTATGTGCTGCACACGGGTAATGGTAGTTCTATATCCTATATAATTTCCTTCAATCTAGGACTTCCATTTTTTTTTTTTCCAATGATGCTATATTGGAAGGTCAATAGTCTCATTTGTTTCTAACATCTTTATCATCTCTTGAATATTGGAAATTTCTACGTTAGATGTCTAATTGAAAGCCTTGTTGTGCAAAGTAAACTGAATGCTGGGAACTCATTATATTCTGATTGTTAATTGTGTGTATTAGAGTGATGTGACGATTTGGATGTATGTTAACCTGTACTTTAGTTTTAGCGTCACAATTGCTTGCTTCATATTTGACTGTTACTCTCTTTTTAAATTTCATTTTATATTTTGACTGTATGATTCACAAGATTGGTGGAATTGCAGTGTGAAGCATCTGCTGGCAGAGACAAAACTGGAACTTCATGAAGCTTTATTAACATCCCAACAGGCTGATGTTGATTGTGTCATAGAAGTTTCAGGTGCAATCAACACTAATGCAGCATTTCATAGGTTAGTTTCATGACAGCTCATTTTGTGTTTAACTGATTGCCTTTCGCTGAAGCAAAAGTTATTTGACAATCACCTCTTTCTTATAGTCTCTTGAAAAATTATGCTGCCCAAGCGGCATCTCATGCTTTCACAACTCTATCACAACTTTCTCCTCCAGAATCATCTGCAAATGATTTCTTATATAAAGTTGCCAAATTGGAGTACTCGTTGTATGGGTGAGTTTATACTTATAATTTTAAGGGTTTTCACACCATGTATATTTTCAGTAGTTGATGTACATCTCATCTATGGTTGTCTCAGAGTCAGCCTTGCTGCTCCACCAACTTCAGTTTCCGCTGACAGAACTCCGTCAAATTATGTTAGACAAGGCTTCATTTTAGCTTTGACTCTTGATGATGGAAGTACTGGGTTTGGTGAGGTGAGCTATATGATTGTTCTCGATTTATATATGGTGATCCATTGTTTTCCAAGTGGTAGAATTGAAAGCTGTGTTCTTCAGAATATGCAAGCCATGGGTAAATCATAAATAAGTCTAATAAATTATAGTGACAGATTGCACCTCTTGAAATTCATGAAGAAAATTTGCAAGATGTGGAAGAACAGCTGCGCTTCCTTCTCCATGCCCTAAAAGGAGCTACTATTAGCTATCAGCTTCCCCTGTTGAGAGAGTCTTTTTCTGTGTGGATATGGAGAGTAATTGGAGTTCCGGTAAGATATTCAGTAAGCATTTTTGCAGGATAAGTGGCACCATTCATGTGTGCTGTCAACCTTCCCTTCATACCTTACTGTACTGTTTCTTTGTGATCTTTTTCTGCAGCCAGGATCTCTATTCCCAAGTGTTCGATGTGGCCTAGAGATGGCAACTTTGAATGCTATAGCTGCAAGACAAAAGTGCACTTTGCTTGGTATACTCTGGCCTCAACCAGTTCAAATCAATGTCAAAAACCAGCAGCCAGCAAGCATTGATATCTGTGCCCTTGTTGATGCTGAAGGGAGTCCACATGAAGTTGCAAGTACTGTATCTGCTCTTGTTGAAGAAGGGTTTCGTGCTGTTAAAGTAAAGGTAATACAATGAAATTTAGATTTTTGTTCCTAATTTTTGAGTGACAATTAAATGAATTTGATGGTATTTGGGTGCCTTAAAACTTAAGAGACAGTTTTGATGCAAATATTGTTTGGAGGTGTTTTTGTAATTTTGAAGGAGTTAAACATCAAAGAAAATAAGTGTTTTGTTTCTCATAATTTCTTTAAATCGACCTATTTTGGCTCTAAGCTATGACTTGCAGATTAAGCTGCAGTTTCTAAAACCTGCTATATGACTGTTGTCTATTCTCACAGGTAGGTCGCAGAGATGATCCGAGGGAAGATGGTGCAGTTATTAAGGAAATAAGAAGAAAAATTGGTGCTGAGGTTGAACTTCGTGTGGATGCTAACCGTAAATGGACCTACGAAGAGGCTATCATATTTGGATCTCTTGTCAAGGATTGTGACTTACAATATATTGAGGTATGCCTCGTAGGTTTCTACATTCTGTTTCTTGTTAGTGGAAGAGACAATTCTTCTGTTGCTTGATTGACCTATATTCTTTCTCAACTGATATCTTTGCTGGCTCAGCCCAATATAGTATTCCATTTCTGAAAGTTCAGCTTGTCTAACTTTTCCAAATTCAATACGCTTCTTTGACCATTAATGTCTTTAACCATTTATCTGTGGAAACTATGATTAGTTCAAATTTTGATAATTACATTCACATGACTCTAACAAGATCCTAAATGCTATTTTTTTTTTTTTTTTTCTTTTATATCAATCATAAACTACGGAAGGTGATTTATTTTGACAACAGGAAAAGTAAGTGTGTATAACTTTTATTAACGGAGGAAGTCTAATTTTTTTAAATTGAAGATCAAGGAACTTTATTGCACTTAACTTGATTGTGATTTTGGTTGGATGATATGAACATAGATTTCTGCATTGTAGTTATAGAACTAAAACACTTTGGTCAAGTTAAACCTAACCTGGGTTGGAATTTATTGTTGTTTTAACATTATATCTTCATTGTTTTTCAGGAACCTGTACAGTGTGAAGAAGATATTGTGAGGTTCTGTGAAGATTCTGGCTTGCCTGTTGCATTAGATGAAACCATTGACAATATTCAAGGAAATATATCTGATTCTTTGGCCAGATTCACGCATCCAGGAGTGGTGGCTCTTGTACGTTCAGGCAAATTGTACTAATTTCTTGTTTTCATTACTCTACAAACTTGCTGGTGATTTAGTGGTTGTTTACTCTCTACTAAACTGGTTCATAATAAGCTATCAGCATATTTTCATCATATATCTTTATAATACCTAGCTTCTTATAGGCAAATTTTAAGCTCAACAAAACACAATCTTTTGTTAGATCTAGGGACTTGAATTTTCAAATCGACAAAGTTTAGATGGAATTACTTTGAAGTTATTCTAATGTAATCTGCAATTATCTATCCAGTCTCCGGATATCATGTTTTTGGTTAAATGGTGGTGGCTCTTGATAATTGATACATGATTCTTGATTTGTCGCTGTATCTGCCCCGAAATTTCCCCTTTCCCTTGCTCTTTGTACATATTGGGAAAAATTCTACTTGTATAATTATACTTGTAGCCTAATTGTTTTCTTTCTCCTTGTCCGAAATAAAGGAGCTTTAAAGTTTGCAAATATGAGTTTTTGCTTTTAGCATGTAAGAGATGTTACTGAATATGCTGATATGATTGTTCTTTGCTATCAATTCTCTACTAAGATTGCTGTTTTTCTTCTGTTAGGTAATTAAGCCAAGTGTTGTTGGTGGATTTGAAAATGCAGCAGTAATTGCATGGTGGGCTCATATTAAGGGTAAATTGGCTGTTGTGAGTGCAACCTTTGAAACTAGTCTCGGATTGTCTTCCTATGTTCAGTTTGCATATTATCTTGAGATGAGAAGTTCAGAAATATCCCAAGCAGTAGATAAGAAACCGACAAAATGTGTATCTCATGGTCTTGGAACATACAAATGGCTGAAAGAAGATTTAACACTTGATCCACTTGTTATTTGCCGACAGCCAAAGAGTAGATTTATAGGTGCATCTATCGACGATGCTGATCGAGTCCTCCGCAATTTCCAAGTTAACTGCAATGTTATCTCAAAAAGGTCTGTTGAAGAGAACATATCTACTTATCAGCTTGGCGTGAAAGTAGATGATTGTTCTTATGTGATCAAGGTGCAAGAGATGGGAGAAAGGAGAGATGTATGTACTGATTTTTTGTTCTCTTAATTTCTAGAGATGTACTTGGTGCATTTTCTTGCATCTGGTTGTAATACTTTTGTTCTGATTTTCTGATCTTCAAATTTAGTGCATAGTAATCACAAATTATACTACTCATATCATTTTCCTCTCAGGAAAACTAACCATTGTTTTCAAAATTTCAAATCCATACTCATTGTACAACCATTCTCTCTGACAAAATTAAGATTGCATGCAGGGAAATACACTTCTATTTCTTCATGGTTTCCTGGGAACTGGTGAAGACTGGACCCCAATCATGACAGCTCTTTCAGGATCTGCAAAATGCTTGTCTATTGATCTTCCTGGCCATGGAAGCTCAATACTACAATCACTTGATGATAGTGGCAATCCAACTGAAGGGCAAAGTTTATCAATTGAACTAGTTGCTGCAGTCTTGAGCCAGTTGATAAATAAAATTAGCACAGGAAAAGTCACTCTTATTGGGTACTCTATGGGGGCCAGGATAGCATTGTACATGGCATTGAGATTCAGTGGCCAGGTATCACCATAGATGTTATTTGTAATCATATATGGGTTGGAAATGTTTATTTTTTTGGTAACAAGTAACAAATATTTTTGTAGATTGATGGAGCTGTCGTGATTTCTGGAAGTCCTGGTTTAAGAGATGAAATGGAGAGAAGGATTCGTGCTGCAAAAGATGATTCTCGCGCACAGTCAATCATCTCCTTTGGTTTGGTGCCTTTCCTGGAAAACTGGTACAGCAGTGATTTGTGGAATAGGTAATCTCCTGCTCTCTTTATGGATTCCGAATTTAGGATCTGTTACTTATTATCCTACTGTACAAAGGATGCTGCTAATAGCAACTCTGGGATTTCTTACATGTTTGCTTTACAGTTTCAGGGGACACCCAAGTTATGATAAGGTTGTAGCAAGTCGCTTGGAGCATCATGATATTCATGGTCTAGCAAAGGCTTTGTCTGGTTTGAGTATTGGAAGGCAGATGTAAGCTTTTACTCTTCTATGAGCCTGCCTCCCCTTCCCCCTCCTCCCCTCTCGTGGCCACTACAAAAAGACTTTAGTAAACTATACCCATCTTTGTTGTGTTGTTTCATGGTCTTGCATACTATCTACTATAAACCCTATTAAGGTATTAGATGTCTTTAGAGCCTTTCTATTCGTGTTTGTTTAATTTACCGTGTTTCATTGATAATATAATGACCTCTTAAAGGTTCGGAGTTTAACCTTTGTCATATGATTTGTTAATAACTGTGTTGTAAGAAAAACCCACAAGCCAGCAAGTATAATTGCTTATATCTTTTGCTGTTGAATATAAAGTTTAGTTCATCCACTTTCCGTGAAATTTTTTTAAAAAAAAAACCTGTCCTTTGATCATTGCAAAGGATTGCTAAGTTCATACGCACTGACGTATACAGTGTACATGTAAGAAGTTTTAGTGTTTGTCTGTAAAAGCACGCCTTTTTCATTGAATAGAAGCACATAGCACCTATCATGTATGAACTAAATAGTCTGTCATTTGCATCTATGATTTCATTTATTAAACTACATACTACTGTGGCTGCCAAAGTAGATGCCAGAGTTGTTACATTTATTGGGCATAAAGCCATACATGCTAGCTGCACTTTGGATTGGTTTCGAATTCTTATCACTATCATTACCACATTGCTTGAACATTTATTTTCATTTGTTAACAGGCCACTCTGGGAAGACTTGAAACACTGCAAAATACCTCTTATGTTTGTTGTTGGAGAAAAAGATGAGAAATTCAAGAGTATCAGTCGGAATATCAGCCGTATAATGGGTCAGACAACAAATCATGAAGTAGTTGAAGTTTCTGATTGTGGACATGCTGTTCACTTGGAAAATCCTCTAGCACTTGTTAGACTGCTGAGACAATTTTTGACAAAAACAAGCTAGCAAGGAACATCGAAATCTGCTGGATTAGTTGCAACTTGCAAGTAAGCTCATTCTAGCCATCTAATTATTTGCCCGCATCCCAATCCATCCTTGTGAAGGTGCTCCATAAAGATCTCTCAAATGATCGAAGATAACATGTTAATAAAATGAAAGAACAGGTTGAATTTTGGAAATGCTATCTGAATTTACTCGTGTAGTACAACTACAGTTTGATTAAAGCTGTCTCAGTACACTGTGATGAGCAATCCTTAATTCAATCTGTTAATTTACTTTAATTGTTGAATAACTATAATTCAATCTACTTTGGGAAGAGACCTTTTCTGGGTATGCCGTAATGTTTTTAGCTCGACAATGCCGAATAGGGAGGGAAACTACAGTTCTTGTTGGCTGTTCTCGCTTTAACCAACTGAGAAATGTACTTTGAAGTACTGTACTTTTAGTATATTTGTATTGGCAATGTATAAATGTAAGTGAATTCTTGTATTTTTACAAGGCTGATATAGACTATGGAACAGAATATGGAAGAATGCGTTTTGTTCAGTTGCAGCTTGTACAAATTTCACTCATTTCAGAGAGAGAAATCATGGTATGACAGTAGTATTGCAATGTTAGGTTATTTTCTTTCTCTATGTTCTTTGAGGTTAAGTAGTTTTAGCCTAAAGTTGTACTTTTCCGTCTATAAATATACGTGGATATATAGCAAAGAAAATAATAATAATAATAATAATAATAATAATAATAATAATAATAATAATAATAATAATAAAAAAAAAAGTCATAAATTGAAATTCAAAAGTTCAAATACATACTAAGAACCCCAATTTTCAAACACATGAACAATGGCATTAAATATGGTAAATTTTCTAAAATAAACCCGGTACACGTTGAGAAATCTTATTAGGTAGAAGATGATTATACCTTACAGTAAGTGATTTTACCTAACTAAAGTTGATTATACCAAATAACCTAGGGTTGGATTAATAGGTCAAATACCAAACAATGTTTTGGGGAATCTTTCTTCACTTAATCAATTGACAAGTTCGATTCCAAATTAAGATTGGTAATCTTAAGCAGTTCAATGTGCCTCATAATTTGTTAACCAAGAGTATCCTTTTGCATTTTTGCGAGATGGCGTCGACGGTATTCGAAGTGAATTCACTATCCACTTGTGTTGTAAGTGGACATTCTGCCTACCCGAATAATAGTGTTGGTGTTGGCTGGAGAGAAGAATTTTTTTTTTTACATAAAATACAAGTTATTAATAAAGTATATCATATATATAAGTAGTACTGTCAAAAACCAAACCGAACTGGTGAAACCGAACCGTTTCAATCGATCTAAATGAGAGCTGAACCGATTAAAAACTGATTTTATGAAACCGAAAATCGACCCGAACCGCATGTTAGTAAAACCGAAACCGATCCGAGGAAACGTTAAACCGTTTAAGAACCGAACCAAATCTAAACCGAACCGTTTCTAACCCGAAACCGTTTAAATTGGCATAAAAACCGTTTACACCAAACCGTTAACAAACTGCAACCCGTTTGCACCGAACCGTTTATAAACCGAACTGATTATAAACCAAACCGCTTATAAACCGAACCGTTTATGAACCGAATCGCTTATAATTCGAACCGTTTAAAAACCATTTCCTACTAGGAGTATTTTGAACGACTCGATAAAAATCCGATTTTTTAAAATCAAAAACAGACCCGAACCGTAATTTAGTAAACCTAAAATAAAACTGATCCAAATAATGTTAAATTGTAGAAGAACCGAACTCGTTAACAAACCGAACCAGTTATAAATCGAACTAAAATAAAACTGAACTAAAAAAGAACCGAACCGTTTCTAACCGGGATAAAAACCATTAACAAACCGCAACCCGTCTGCACCGAACCGTTTACTACCCGGACCGTTTACAACCCGAACCGAATTTAAACCGGGATAAAAACCGTTTACACCGAACTGTTAACAAACCGCAACCCATTTGCACCGAACCGTTTACTACCCGAACTGAATTTGAACCGTTCAAGGATAAACCGAAACCGAATCGAACCGATAATTATTTAAACCGAACTGAAACCGACCCGTAAGACATTTAAACCGATTTCAAACCGACCCGATTTCAAACCGAACCGAAACCGAACTGTCAAACCGTTTTGACAGTACTATATATAAGCATTATAAGAGTTATAAAAGTGATTATATCAAATTAAAGATGATTATTACAATAAAAAGTGATTATACCAAATTGATTTTTTTTTTTTTTATGAAAGGCTTGTGATGAGCTCGGGGCATAGTAATTTTATGTGGACCAGGTTCATACAAGTTGTTTTGTTTGACATTTGATAAACAACAAAACGATGAAGTGGGCTCCCTCGATAATAGGTTAGGGAGAAGAGGGGAGAAGGAGTCATATGGTGAAGGGTGAAGATAGAAAGAATTGAAGTAAATAATTGACTTTTTACCGCACAAATCTAATATATACATAAAGGAGAGTTTTTAGAGCGCCACGTAGGATTTTAATTCTTAAAAAATTATTAGAGCGTCACTTAGAATTAATATTTTTAAAACATTATAATAGGATTTTGCCACGTAAGATAGTTTTTATTTTTTTTAAGCGCTACATAGGATTATGCCACGTAAGATTAATTTTAGAGCGTCACATAAGAAAATGTTATATATTAGCTAATAAAAAAAAAGAATTGCAATTTATATTAGATCAAAAAATTTATATTAATTATAAAAATAAAATTTTTTGTGTGGTTGGCCATATCGTGTGGCCGGCTAAGACACACCCAAACACTGACCGAGTAACCCCTGACCACCGAGTAACCCTTGATCAATTAAATAACCCTTGACCAACCAAGTAACCCCTGACCAAGTAATCTTGACTACACAGTGTGATCAGCCACATATGAAACTTTGTGAAATAAAATATCATCTTTTTATATTACGAATTTTATCTAAATATAAGAAACAAAGTTAATAATTCATTTTATAATAAAAAATTCAAGTAGTAAGCAAGAGAATATCACAAAGTTTATTAGATAATTATATATTAATAAAATATTTTATTTAAAAAAATAAAAACAAATCGTACATCGCACGGGCTTTATCTAGTTTTGTTTAATTTGGAAACGAGTCAATTAACCAAAGTATTATGGGACAAAAAGAAGGAAATTTCTTAATTCTTAAAGAGGAAAGTTCTTAATTCTTAAGTGGCATTTTTGGAAATAAAAAAGAACTTTTTGTAACAACAAATATCACTCCTATATGGTACCAACAAAAATGTGTATTGATATAGATACGAAACTATTGATTATTTGATTATATCGTATCAAATTGAAGCTTACTTGTTACCAAATTAAAACTTTCTTAGTACTAGGGTGGCGCGCGTTATAGCTAGCCATGTCCGGATGTTCTTTCGGTTAGAAGTTGTTAGTAGCGTTAATTAGGGAAAATATGTAAACAAATATTTTTAGGGGTATAATGTTGGGTTTCGTAGTGTCCAACACTACGCGGAAGGAAACCCGCCCAAAGATCCATGCATAAATTAAAGCAACTAAACATGCATGCTAATATTTAATTAATTAAACACATAATTAATTAACAACAAGAGAGAGAGAGAGAGAGGAAAAGACGATCATAACCTTGAAGCGTGTTTTCCACTTAGCACGAACACGAACTCACGAACGGAGAAAAAGCCTCAAATGCGACCCCTCCAACGTAGTTCACCCGCGCGCCCAAACTTGGCTAATATTACCGGCTAGGGTAATATTAACACTACTAAACAAGAGGATCTATTTATAAGGTTTTCTCAGTGAAGATGTACTTTATAAAGTTCAACTCTTGCAACAATTCCCAAGGAAGACCTTGGGTATTTATAGGAGAAGCATCTCCATCCCTTTCATTTCCAATCAATGTGGGACTTTGTAAAGTTGAGAAATAAATGCTTTTAATTTAATTCTAAAATAAATTAAAATGCAAACAACAAATGACAATCACATGGGAGTGGTTAGGTGAGGACCACCGGGGGGAGCCACATGGCCTCCTTGTTCCCAAAGTCACCAAACCCACCAATCACAATAGCCCATGACCGGTCAACACCCTTGGGCACCAAGGTATGGTTGGTCAAGGCCATTTGACTTGGCTCGGGCTTGCTAGCCATACTGCAAGCCCACTCGGCTGGGATGCTCTTATGCGTTGCTCGGTATGGGCCTGCCAGCACGCACCACAAGCCCACACATGATGCTGGGCTGCTGTGTATTGCTCGGCTGCCATGTCGGGCTTGCTAGCAGGCCTCCCTAGCCACAGCTCACTGCGAGCTTGTTGGCGTGCCGTGCTAGAAGGCCTGCTGCGAGCTGCCAGCATGCGGGTTTGCTAGCCACGCCATGCTGCTGCTCTCGCAAGCCCGCACGCCCTTGCGGGCTGCTGGTGCTTGCGGCAGCATGTGCTAGCCTAGCCCTCGTACGGTTAGGCCGATACGAGGTTAGGGTTATGAACAATGACTTTATTATTCGTTGTTTGACTTATTTGTACATCTCGTTAATTTCTAGAAGTTAACTCGACGTTCGGCTTTGACACTCCAAGCTCGGAATCCAACGTCGGAATACGTATCCTCTAGTTTGACCTATTAATGCCTTCGGCTTAATTCCTCACCTTAATTAGTTTGGTTACACGCTTGGGTGTGACCCGTTGGGTTCAGTAGAAGGAAAGCTGTGAGATTAATATAATTAATCTCACTGATCGGAGATGGCCTCTAGCCTGACTTTCCAATCACTTCTCTTCACTGAATAATTAACTCCGTAATTAATTCCGAACCCTCTATCGGAATAATACACATGTTTGAAGGACACTAATCCTTTCATATAAATGTTCACACACTATTCTTATGAGTTTAAAAAAATAATTAATATAAATGAGGGCAAATATGTAAATAATTAACATTTTAGGGATATAATCGTTTCAACACTATTCATAAAGTGTGGTCATACTTTTAAAAAGGGTTAAATACATAAATAAACATTTTTAGGGGCATAATAGTCTCAACACTATTCATAAGAGTTTACTCATACTTTTGAAAAGGTAGGGATGAACTTAGGGATGTTAAAAAGGCGGGGCGAATGTTGGCCTACCCATCCCTATACTCATCCCCACCTAAAATTTTCATCCCCATCCCCATCCCCATCCCCGCGCTGAGACCAAAATTGATCCACATCCCCACCTCGGCGGGTACATTTCCAAAACCATCCCCGCCCCACCCCCACTTGGATATCCACCCCTACTTAATCCCCACCTAAGACCCGCCTAATCCCCACCTCCCAATACACAATCCTACATAATTAATATAGATTAAATATATATATATATATATATATATATATATATATATATATTATTGTTAATATTACACACTTTTTTGTTTTTAATATTAGTGTATTACAAATTATTATATCTACTATTTTATTTTGCATAATTTTTTTATGAAATAGTATAAAAGAATATAATTTTGTTTTTAAAAATATATACAAGTG